ACAACTTTGACCATTAATATACGTAATTATATAATGTATTATTAGGAAGTATAAAAACTTAATATAATGAACATATACATAGAGATTAATTCAAAAATTAATTACATAGCAATGTATAGTTTTATAAATTGATAAAAATAGAGTTAAAGTAAATATATGAATAGTGCAAAAATCAAAATGTTGCAATTATAACGAAACGGATGGCTCCTATATCTTTTGTGTGAATTGAGGAAAAGACATTTTATTAAGAATATGGCTAACAAGTGCCTCAGCATTAGATAGGGATTAATATATTACTTAAAATAGTACTCCGTATAAAGTTTGGAATGCATAACAAAATCACACGTCGATCGGTGTAATTAATGTTAATTTTATCACTCTCTCTGTCCCCAAAACTTCGACCCTTTTGTGTTGATTTCGCGGTTATTAAGAAACTTAAATAAAAAGAAATAAAAACATACTGAAAAGATAAATTTACATGAGGTTTGTAAAAAAGTAGAGAGATAAAATATTGAAAATACATTAAAAAAAAAGCAAAATTTTATATGGGGAAGCTAATTTTGCACAAATATTATTGTAAATTGGTGGGTATTTTAATGCAAATGGGTCGATTATTTTGAGACTAAGGGTTTGTTCTCTTACGTTGAAATTCAGTTCAGTTAAGTTCAGTTCAGCTCAGCTCAGCTCAGCTCAGTTCAGTTCAGTTTAGTTCAACTCCTAATTTCCTTCTCTTATAAAATATTCATTTCATTTCAGTTCAGTTCAGTTCAGCTCAACTCAGTTTAGTTCAGTTCAGTTCAGTTCAGCTCCGTTCAGTTCAGTTCAGTTCAGCTCAGCTCCGTTCAGTTCAGTTCAGCTCCGTTCAGTTCAGTTCCATTCAGTTCAGTTCAATTCAATTCAATTCAGCTGAGTTCAGTAAATGAGAACAGACCCTAAAATTAGGCCAAAAGGGGCGAAGTTTTGGGGATGGAGGGAGTATAATTTCCACATTTAGTTCTCTTATCTAACACCCCGGGGGTGCTCGTTAGCTTTTGGCTTTGATATAAATATGTTTTTTTTTTTTTTTTTGACACACCTTAACTTTGAGTAACATTGTTCAGACATTCACTTTGAGTAAGGCATCTTATATATACACTATACATCTTATTAATTTTTCACATGACGGTACTAAGTTATTGATACTCTCTCCGTGTTTTTTTTAAGTGTTACACTTTTCATTTCCAACCATGTTTTTTTAAGTGTTACACTTCCTTTTTTGGCAAAAAGATACAATAAAATATTATATATCTCTCCTCACATGGTCCGCACCCAAACTTAATATTTCGTACTACTTTTTTATTATATCTTTCCTCTTACATTCATTACTTTTCAATAAATTGTTAACCCCACTATTTTTCTTTTACAATTTTTTAATACTCCAACTACCCCACTCACCTCTTATTTTATTTAAGTCAATTAACTTGCCTAAAATTATGTGCCAATCAAACTATAACACTTAAAAAAACACGGGGGAGTAGTCAAAATCTTACATTGACAAGTACTAAGAAAACAAATATACGTAAACTAAAAATGAGTAAGGATACGAAAATGATCGATTACAAAATGGACCTACAAGGCTACAAGTCTACAACAACGTCCTCTACCAGTTTCTATCCATAAAATGGACACACGAATCTTGAAATGTGAAGTAAGAAAAAAAAAACGCAACTTTTTAATAAACTTATGGATCTAAGCCACCTCACGTCCTCACTTACGAAGTACAACTCCAACTTAAAAGCGACAGCTGAGTCTACTTGCTCAACCCACCCAACTACCCAACAAAGGACACACAAGCAATTGCAATTTTGTAAATGGAAAACAAGATTTTGGAACAACCCTCTATATCTTTTAAGTGACTTAACAATTACTCAAGGCATCATTTGAGTTGATAACTACGCCATAATGTGATAGCTTTAAAATTAGTAAATTATAACTGGTATTCCTGTAATAATCTCAGGTATCATTTGAGTTGATAACTACCCCATAATTTGGTAGCTTTAAAATTAGGTAAATTATAATTGGTGTTCCTGTAATAATCTCAACTACTCCGTGTGTGTTATCGTAGTTTAAATTTTGTTCGATCGAGGATTAGTAATTTTTTTTTTTTTTATCAAATGGACTCACACACTAAAATACTCGTACGTATCTAATCAACTAATCTAAGGGGTTGTTTGGTTACACAAAGAAAATGGAGGAAGTCAAAAATCATGGGAATTTGAAAATGGGTGAGTTGTTTGGTTGACACTAAAAAGTGAAAATGAGGGAATTGCAAATTCATGGGAATTGTGACTTCCCACAAAACATGAGAAGTTGATTACCTAACCCCCCCTAGGTAAGTCAAAATTCCCATGATTTGCAACTTCCCACGTGTCAACCAAACAATTTTAAGCAATTCTCATGAATTCGATGTAGGAATTTAATTCCCATGAAATACAAATTCCTATGGGAAGTAAATTCCCATAGCAACCAAACAACGCCTAATTTTGTCAATTTTTTTTCCAATAAATCATAAATTACATACAAGTATGTAATATATCTATCGCTCCTCCTTTTCATATATGATATATCCTCATTGGTTTCCTATCAAATATAACTTTCTATCGTGTCATCATTTAATTTTATAATCCAACATGAGACTCTATCCCAATTTCTCACTTCTTATGATCTACAAGGTTTTTATTTTATTTTTTTTTTTTTTTTTTTTTTGGGTACATGTACAAGATGGTCTTATGAGCGTTATGATGATAACATTGTCTAATTTAAAAAATTGTAATAATTCTTTCAAAAAAATTGTAATTATACTTTGTATATTTTAAGTCATCAGATCAAATCGTATTCCTAAGCTTCTATATTTTCAAAATCAACCGTCCACTCTTATCTCTCAGCTTAAATACAATTAAAAAATTATTACCAAACTATAAAATTCAATCATTACACACTAAAAGAAAAACAATTTTGTTCATATCAAATCGTATTCCTAAGATTTTATATTTTCGAAATCAACCGTCCTCTCTTACTTTTCGGCAAAAAGAAACAATAACAAACATGATTACCAAACTATAAAATTCTATTATTACAAACCAAAAAAAAAAAACCAAAAAAGAAAAACAATTAAAAAGCTGATGTATAAAGGAAGAAAATCATGATTTCCCCATCAAATAGGACTATCCTTGTGATCAATCATAGTGGATAAAATAAGTAATTCACCTCTTGAATAATCTGAAGAGCCATATTAAATTCCCACCGTAGATTTAATTTCCTCATCCATTCAGATTTGAACATTTGTCTCATTCGAGTATTAATTGTGCTTATCTGGCAGAGAGAGAATTCACATAATATTAGCCAATCTCCATCTAATTTCATGTGCTTAGCTCCAAGCATCTACAAGTGTCTTCCATGTGGGTCATCCGTGATTCATGTGGGTGGCTTTAAATCTAGATCCCTTGATTTTCCACGTGTCACTTACCCACTAACCACCTAAAAGAAATGCTCAAAAAATTGTTATTCCAAATTTAATACTTCGTAAATATTACTTCCTCCGTTTTTATTTAGGATATGTTCACATTTATTAAAAACTGAACTGAGCTAAACTGAACTGAGCTAAACTGTACTGAACTGATTGGAGCTGAACTGAACTGAATTAATTAGATCTGAACTAAACTGAATATTTTATAAGAGTAGGAATTTAGAAGCTGAACTAAACTGATTAGAGTTGAACTGAACTGATTAGAGCTGAGCTGCGCTGAACTAAACTAAACTAAACTGAAATTAAGTTGAAGTGAACAGGTCCTTTGTTGACATGTTCAATTTACGCACACATATTAAGGAGAGTAGAGAAAATGAAAGAAATTATAAAGCAAGTGAGGTATACTTAAAAATTAAGGTAGAAAACTTATCTAAAAAGAAAACGTATCAACGAAAAATAAACTTCCTAAAAAGGAATGTGTGTCACCTAAAAAAAACTGAAGAAAGTATTAGTAAAATTGGTCTCAATACTCAAAAACTATTATAGCTTGGGTGCACTCAACGCCCTGATATTGGCACACCACCAACTATTGATTGAGGATGCAATACATGCAATATAATTAGTAGGTTCTATATGTTTTTTAGCACTCAAAATTAGACATGTTTGGTTATTAAATAGAAATTAATGATGTGCATTGTTCCTTAATTAGTAATTGGCGGTATGCCAATGACTAGTCAAAATTCAAGGTGCTAGGTGTACCTAAGTTATAATATTAGGGTGTTGAAATCAATTTTGCATAAATACTACTTTGTAGTTACTATCCGTACTTATGCAAGTGATACATATATTTAGGGAAAAGATTAGTAATGACTGGAGATTTTAGTAGGTATGGATAGTTATTGCACTTATTAGAGTCGTCACACATACTCACAATTTCACATGGTATGTGTCAAAGTATAAAACCGATTTTGATATTCAATCATTAATTTAAGTCTGATCCTCTAACAACACGTGCCAACGTAATAAAGAGATCACGGGTTCGAATTTCATCAGCCACTTCTTTGAAGTGAAACTTATTTCGTGTATGGTATGGGACCAAATAACATCAACATTTAAATCTCAATGGACTATCATGTGAGGGACGTGATAGATTAAATGAACCAATCAGTAGCCATGTTTTGTCTATAAGAATTACCCTAGTTCATTACACAAGTAACATTAATTTTTTGAAAATTACAATTTTATTATCATCAACTCACCATGAACCATAATGTGGCTTATACAACATATAAAGTTATCATTCGACTCATACCATTAATTAATGACGCATCAAACTACACATAAAAATTTATGAAATAAAAGTCGCACATTTATTTTTTTAAAAAAACACATTTTATATGTCCCATTTTTTTTTTTTTTTTTATTCAATCATTCATAATGAAAAAAAATCTTGTGTATGTTTGTTTAATTTCTTCTATCAGTCAAATCTAATTAATTTGTTTTAAAATTTGTATACAGCTATTTATTATTGAATTTAAAAATAAAAACAGAAATGAAACATAAATATACGACGTGGTCGGTTCGCCATCCACGCAAGTACGCAACCCAAAAAAAAAAAAAGAGCAGTCCCCCTTCTTCTCTCATATGATAGTCTGATCTTCTCTGATCTAGTCACCTCTCTATCTACTTGTATTCATCTTTGATTAGTGAAGTGACGCTAATTGCGGAAATTCGACAACGAGCTGTCTTCGATAACAAACATTTTTTTTTTTTCTAGATCCATCTCCATCTCATTTCTCGTTACGATTTTGTGCTCATCACCGTAAAAGGTCAGTTTCGTATTGCTTTGATTTTGTATTACGGCTTATAAGGTGTACTCGGGTACAAGATAGATTGTCGTAACTATGTAATGGAGAATTGAGATTACTATTACGATCAAGAGTATTATATTGTTGCAATGTTTTAGATCGATTCTTGTAATTTCTGTGACTGTTATATTAAATTTTAGTGTTACTACTCTTACTAGGTTGAATTATGGATTTAGGATAATTTTGTTGATTTGTGATTTTGAAATAAAGTGAAATGGCAGGTTGTTTTAGGATTTATGTTCGAATCTATCTCAAAAAGTGTGCTAAATTCACAGTTTAAGGAATAATTGTAAAATGGATAAATTGGTGAAAATTACTGTTTTTTTTAATCAAGGAAAATACTGGAGCCCCTCGTGGTGATTATTTTGATTCATTATTAAAAGGGTAAGGGATCGTCACCTTCAACCATCCTTGATTCAAAATCTGTAAACCTAGTATTTGTACGTCTTATCAAGTGAGTAAAGTCTTGTTTTATTAGATACCCGTACCCGACTACAAAATGGATCCCTAGAGGCTACAGTTTCTTGAAAAGAGTGTGATGGTAAACTTTGATGATCTTTTTGTGGATATATGCATTGGCGGACCTGCCCTTGTGCATGGTGAGTCAAGACTCACCAGGGCCCAAAAAAAATTTCTAAGTTTTTTTTTAAAAAAAAAAAAAAATTATTTTCTTTGGTTGATTTTGTTGTTGTTTGTTTGGTAAACTTTGAACCTTTTGTTAATGTTGTTGGGTTTTTGATGAAATTTGAACCTTTTTGACCATGTGAATTGTAATAAGTGTTTATTTAGGGTGTTTATTGATGTTAATTATGTCTGTCAAATTGTCAATACACCATTGACTTTGGTAGATTTATATGGGGTTTTGCATATGTGCTGATTTGATTGGCGATTCGGACGATTGCTTATGATATAGTCGACCCACCCTAATGATATAGTCAATTATGTCTGTCAAATTGTGAATACACCCTAATGCTTGTACAGATTTTAATCTTGTCAATTATTAGAGAGCTAAGCTTGTCATGTTGTCAAATTTTTTTTTTACATATTTGGTTATCGATTGTGACTCATCAGTCGGAAATTCCTGGGCCCGCCACTGGATATATGCATGAATATAGGTAAGACAGTTGAATTTTCTCAACAAAAAAAAAAAAAAAAAAAAAAAAAAGGTAAGACAGTTGAATTGCTGAATTCAAGTAGTAAAATAAAATCAGAATTATTAAGTTTTTTTTTTTTTTTTTTTTTTTTAAATGTTAACTTCATGGTGTATTATATTTATTATTAATATTCAAATAGATGTGTTTTGACTCACCGTTTTCAGTTTTTCACAATTTTTGTTTTTGATTGCTAAGTTTGACATTGGTTTAATCTTTTAGACTATTGACCAAGTCTGTTGTCACATTTTATAATTTTTATTTTACTCACATTTTTAATGTTATGTTAATTTTGCAAATATTTGTTGAAAATTTCACAAATTTCTATATTAAGCATGTTCTGTTTCAAGCAGTCTTCATCAAGTATAATAACACACACAGTTTTTTCAAAGATTTAAAATTTCACAAGCAGTATTTAGTATAATACGGAGCATTCATTTTGCTCACATCTACTTTGCATTTTATAATCTTCATCAAGTATGTTTTTCCTTGTATACGCGTCCCTTTCTGTGATCATCAACGTAGGGTGTCACCGGAAATTGAAAATTGTGTACTAGTCTTTGGGTCTATCAACGATGAAGTGAATAGAAATGCAATTTATTCAAGCAATCATCAAAGAAGGATGTAACTATGTAAGCCATATCACACAGTATGAAGTACTTCCGTCTTACCATTACCAATGGTAGCAATTTTAGCTAATTGCCTACTTTGCTTCTGATCCAAATTAGAAGTCAGTCTAATGTACACTGTTTTATAGAATATCACTTTATAATATTAATACGACGATATTATAGTCTGTTTTATATTATACCAATACAATGTCAAAACTCCACTTTCCATAAGCAATGCAACTTTAAACGACATTTAACTAATTAGTAATTACATATTTACATAATGTGTGAATATCTGAAAGTTACTAAAAGGAGCTATTTTGTTCGTATCAGTAGAAGTTTGATGTAAAGGAAGAGGCAGTTTAAAACTGAAGTCTTATTCTCGTCAAAAGTAGAATAACCATGGAAGCAACTGGAGAACCTCCATCAGATAATGCCAGCTCAAATTCAATAGATGATTCAACTTGCGCGAGTGAGCTAGCCACTGCACTAAGTAGGGAAGCAGAAGCAGCCACAAATGGAGAAGCAGACCTAGAAAGCTTACAACAACCCTTATTAAGGAGAAACAGAACACTCTCTGCTAGCCACTTAGCTATGGTGGGAGCAAAGGTTTCCCATATTGAGAGCCTTGATTACGAGTATGCTTCCTGTCTTTTACCCCTCCATCTTTTGCTGTCTTCAAGTATTGTTGTTTTTAGGAGATTCTTTTGATGCTATTGCAGAATCAATGAAAATGACTTGTTCAAGCAGGATTGGAGAAGCCGGTCAAAAGTTCAAGTATTACAATATGTATTTTTGAAATGGAAACTTGCATTTCTGGTGGGACTGCTAACCGGTCTTATTGCTACAGTCATTAATCTTGCTGTTGAGAATATTGCTGGATACAAATTGCTTCTTGTATCTGGATATGTTCAGGAAAAGAGGTATTCCTACCAATTTACTGTTGTTTCTTTCTCCTTTATATGGCCAGTAAGTCATGAACAAGCCTAAAATCATATACACGAACTCACAAGGAAATAACATTGTGGTGCAGGTACATTACGGGGTTGTTTGCCTTGACAGGGGCTAACTTCTTATTGACACTAATTGCAACAGTGTTAGTTGTTTTCTTTGCCCCTACTGCTGCTGGGCCTGGTATACCTGAAATCAAAGCTTACCTGAATGGTATTGATACTCCCAACATGTACGGAGCAGCAACCTTGTTTGTCAAGGTTAGTTTGTTTGCAATTTTCATGTACATGTATCTTTCTGAGATTTATACTCATCATTCCATTAAAGCTTCCACTTTGCATGCTGCTTGTTTAAGTTAATAGGGTCAGAATATGAATCTGACTTTGGATGGTATTTGACTTTTGATCCCCGTAATTGGACTTCTAGGATGTAACTAATCGTCAATTTAGTTCCAAAAGACAAAATCATCGAATTCCATTCTAGGTCCTTCACCGTATTGAAATAAGTACAGTCTAGCTGTCTAGATACAATTGCATGTGTAAATCAACTATCTATGTCATAGATGTAAGTTATGGGGGAAAAAGGCTTCATTTGGATTAGCAAGCTAAAATTGTAATTTATGATCATATGGGCTCAAGGAGTGAATTTTTCACCATGTGGATAATCACTTAAGACTTTACTTATCTTATGTCAGATTATTGGGAGCATTGGTGCAGTCTCTGCTGGGTTAGACCTCGGTAAAGAAGGGCCTTTAGTGCACATTGGAGCATGCATTGCATCCTTACTTGGCCAGGGTGGAACTGATAAGCATCGTGTCAAATGGAGGTGGTATCGTATCATGAACAATGACAGGGATCGGAGAGACCTGATCACCTGTGGTGCTTCTTCAGGAGTTTGTGCAGCTTTTAGGTCCCCAGTGGGAGGGGTTCTGTTCGCTCTGGAAGAAGTGGCCACATGGTGGAGAAGTGCTATCCTTTGGAGAACTTTCTTTAGCACAGCAGTTGTGGTTGTAGTGCTCAGGACTTTCATTGAATTCTGCAGTTCCGGACAATGTGGGCTGTTTGGCAATGGTGGACTCATCATGTTTGATGTGAGCAATGTTACTGTGCGCTACCACATGATGGATATCATCCCTATCGCCCTCATAGGACTCATTGGCGGTGTTCTTGGAAGTCTTTACAACTATGCCCTGCACAAAGTTCTCAGACTTTACAGTCTCATTAATGAGTAAGCACTATAATCCCATTCCAGTAATTTGAACTAATATCTGCTTCATAGATCCTGATTTTAGGATGACACTATGATTCCACTTTTTTCATACTACAGTATTCAGCGTTTTCCGTTGGTTTGGTATGCAATATGCATAATGAATTAATGTTTGAGAAATAAACTACAAACAATGCTACTAGATTCCAGAGTAATAAATATGATAAATTTAAAACATCCAGCTCTAATAAAATTATAGTTGTCAAATACTTTGTGATTTCTTCTCAAATTGGCGAATTACCCTGCATAAAGCATAATCACTTTTAAAGACTTCTTCCCAAGTAACTTGAATTCTGAAACTTCCACGTGTGATTTTTGCATAGAAAGTCTCCAGAATTATCTCTATAATTTTGGCTTTACTTCACATAATTCAGTACTGAGATCACCTTCAATAAACCTTTTACCATCTATAGATTAATCAAGAAGGAATCCCTTGGGCCATAGTCTCTCTCACTCAGATTCCTTCCCTCTAGACTCTTAACAATTTTTCTGTAGTTGTGAGATTTATCCACTATTTGCAATATCCTACAAATTTTTAATCACACAGGTCTGCAAAAAAGACTAGGACTGCAAACAACTGTACTGTTGTCGCCTGAATACTTTCCTTTCCAAAATCCTACAAACAAATAAGAAGTATTTTTCTATCTATTTCTAGTTAACATATGCTAATGACCGCTTGGTAATTAGTAATAAATAGTGGTAATGATTTTCTAAGTAAGTTTGTGAAGAAAATTCCATGCCTATACCCATGGTAATGGCTAGTCCCTCCTCAAATACCTTTTTTTTCCTTCACAAATTCTCATTATCATCTATACCTTTTTAATGAAGATCCATTTCTTCGGATTTTCAACATGGAATATTCTATTTTATAATCTAATGTGAATTTCATTGCTATTATGTGCCATTTCCTTGATTTATTACTTATATGAAGGAGTTTAGGTTAATTTCCAGATTAAACTTGCTGAACCATAATTGACACAACAAACACGTATCCAATGTTGGGCTAAAGATACAATAAGATACTTCTGAGATTTTATCAGTGTTTCTGAATTTCTTTGTCATTCTGCAGGAGGGGAAAGCTGGCAAAGATTCTTCTAAGTCTTACAGTCTCAGTTTTTACCTCTGTGTGCATGTATGGACTGCCCTTTCTTGTGGGTTGCACAAAATGCGATACATCTATATCAAATTTTCAGTGTTCTACTACTGGAAGAACAGGGAACTTCAAGAGATTCAACTGCCCAGAAGGCTATTACAATGACCTTGCCAGCTTACTCTTTTCCACCAATGATGATGCTGTTCGAAACATCTTCTCTACAAATACTCCAGGAGAATTTCACCCATCCTCGCTCATAATTTACTTTGTACTATACTGTATCCTGGGACTCTTTACCTTTGGCATTGCTGTTCCTTCTGGACTCTTCTTACCTATCATTCTCATCGGTTCAGCATATGGGCGTTTACTTGGCATTGCTATGGGAAGTTACACAAAGATTGATTGTGGGTTATATGCAGTATTAGGTGCAGCATCTCTCATGGCCGGCTCAATGAGGATGACAGTATCGCTTTGTGTAATTTTCCTTGAACTCACCAACAACCTATTGTTACTCCCAGTAACAATGCTTGTACTTCTCATTGCAAAGTCAGTGGGAGATTGCTTTAATCTGAGTATCTATGAGATTATACTAGAGTTGAAAGGCTTACCTTTCTTAGATGCAAACCCTGAACCATGGATGAGGAATATCACTGTTGCAGAGCTTGCTGATGTGAAGCCTCCTTTAATTAGTCTTCGAGGAATTGAGAAGGTATCTCGCATTGTAGAAGTCCTGAGAAACACTACACACAATGGTTTCCCTGTCATAGATGATGATGTAACAGTCCCATCAAGTGAAGCCGGAGGGACAAAGGCAAGGGAGCTACATGGGCTAATTTTAAGAGCTCACCTTGTAGCCGTGCTAAAGAAAAAGTGGTTTTTGGAGCAACCAAGAAGAACAGAGGAATGGGAAGTGAGACAGAGATTTACATGGGTTGAGTTAGCTGAAAGAGACCTCAACTTTGAACAAGTAGCCATATCAAAGAATGAAATGGAGATGTATGTTGATCTCAATCCTTTCACTAACAAAACTCCTTATACCGTGGTAGAGGACATGTCGGTAGCAAAGGCAATGGTATTATTCAGGCAGGTTGCTCTTCGCCATTTGCTCATTGTACCAAAGTACCAAGGAGCTGGGGTAAGTTTCAATATGTTAAAAGAGTATAATTTAGTTTATCATCTTTCTGAAACCCATCAAAATATCTAATCAAATGTGCTTACTATTGTGCAGATATATCCTGTGATTGGAATCTTAACAAGGCAAGATCTGAGGGCGCATAATATTCAGACTGTGTTTCCTCATGTAGCGAAGAGCAAAGGCAGAGAAAAGCAGAAATGAGCTCTTTCAATTACTCGGATGGGTTGGGATCGATACATATCCATTGCATTCTATACACAGTTTCCATCTTGCATTCTTTTGCTAATAATTTTGTTCATAATATTTTGCACTCTTTATTTTATACGATGCGTACAAGTTTGTACATTTTAAGGAAAGGTTTGTGTAGGCTCGTCAAAACATTACATCTTCACTAGTTTATAAAAGAAAATTATTTACCAGTATGAAAGCAGCAGCAGCAATTCATCTACTTTGTATCATATTTCTTGTATGAAAATTTTGATTTCCCAAGATTTACTCTTTCTATATCACAATACACTTAGCAATATATGCCCAAGCAACCGAGCTCATACATAGCCACATTGAATGTAATTGTGGATTTCGCGGTCCTTCCTGGATGTGTTTTTCAGTAGGATCATAGCGTCCCATTTTCGGAGAAGTGCTTGGAGCAGTCTGTTACTGGTCTGCTTTTTGTTAATGTAGTTTAAGCAGACCAGTGTTGCCTAATTCTCCTTCTCCCTGCACAAAATGCGGAGGGAAAAAGGCAAATCATAGTGAGTTGACAATTTTCGGTCCAATTTATCAATTCTAATAGTTCAATTCCTTGTTTCACTCATTTTTCGTGGCAAAGGGTGCATCTTAGATAACTTCGACCAAGCTTGGGTGGAAATTTGGAAAGCCGAAGTATCACCCAAAGTGAGGCATATCTTCTGGCACCTTGAGAATAAGCACACGTCCAATTTTGTGCTAGCTGAAACGTGTCACCAAGTATGTCAAGGAGCATACACCCCTGGTATACGCAATCTTAATAGCCCAACTGCCCAAGCAAGTGGAATGCCCCTCCTATGAATGTGTTAAAGCTGAACGTAGGCGCTTGCTTCCTTGGCAGATGAAGGCTGGGCTGGGCGGCTGGCCTTGGTGTGGTCTGCAGAGGCCACATGAGTGCAGTGCTGTTTGCTGCAGTAAGAAGAGCATGGGTAGATAGCTGCGGCCAAAGCAATCCTGCTGGCGCTGGAGATGGGCAAGAGATTTGGTTTGGCAAACATAATCTTTGAATCTGATTGCAAATTGCTGATTGAGAAGTTGTCCAAGGGATCAAAGCACTCAGCTGATTTAGGCACTTTTAGGGAATATTTCTTTTCATGGGCTCTAGTTTTAATTTTGTTTGTTGGTCTCATGTTAAGCGAGGAAGAAATTGTGTTGCACACTATCTTACATGGACTCAGGTATCCATGTCCGACATGGGTATGTGTTCAAGTGTGCGACACGGTTTTTTTGAGAACAAATCCATGATTTTGAACCAAAATGAAGTGTCCAAGTGTCATACTCATGTCTGAGTGTCGAGGATCTGACATGGGTAATTGAGGTGAAATGAAGAGTCCATGTAACATTACTCGCATACTATCTTGTTATTGCTAGTACCCTGAAACGACATGATGTAATATCAAGTGTCCAAGTATCAATTTATAGTTTTATAATATACGTCATATTATTTTCATTAATACGCAGTTAAAAAATGTTGGAATAATCTTTCAATATAGTTGTTATATTTTTAATAAAGTAATAAAATCACAAGGTTCTCACTTGTATTCTGGTTAGTGAAAATAAGGAGAAGTAGACATTTAATTAAGGGACGGAAGAGTACTACTTTGCAAAGCTATACACAGACACACAGTAGTGCATAGAAAAGTCATAATCTGCTCAAGTATCATTAACTCATTATTGTACAAGATGCAACCATAAGTCCATAAAATCAACATGGACAGCATTAGAGTTTCAAATATATATAGTACTCCGTACTTTCAATGTTTCATAAATATTGCAATGTTTAATGTTTATGAATATATATCTATAGCAACGTTTCTCTATTTGCATATGCTACATGGGTCTTAATACTTAAGTTTATCACCTCATGCTGTGATATGAGTATTTGTGAAACGGAGGAAGTATATAATATACAGTCTAATGGCGTGACGGGTTCTCATCAACATATCCAAACGCCACGCGCTCTCAAAAGAGTCGCTTTGAAAAGGCAGTCGCAAAGTCATTTTTATGACGGCTGAGATGCACACTTCCTGTGGTACAAGCTAAGGAGCGTGTAAATGTGTAATGCATCAATTATTCCTTGCAAATTTTAGTTTCATATTCAGCTGACAATTGAATAAATCTCTTTTGATTAATTCTTTATAATGCTGACGTAAAGGATGAGCTAAGGGATGCAATCATCAAATCTTTGGAAAATAATTCTAATTCTAGAGCTTCAATGAAATTTTGTTACAGTAATAAACTTTGGAGCATCTAATCCTACAGTATCTAAAATATTATAATATTCTCTTAGTCTCAATTACTTACGGCATTGTTTCTTTAATGGAAAACTTTTGTATACACCCGGTTTTCAGTAATTTACTGTACATCGGGTACACTTTTATCACATTTAGTGTCACTTTTGTCAAATTTAGTGTCACTTTTGTCAAATTTATCAATAAAGCATAAATAACTCTTATATATGTCACGATAACTTTTGTGCGTTTTAGTGTAACTTTTGTACATTTTATTGTCACTTTATAACGGATGTTCAGTAATTTACTGAACATCCGTTTTATTTAAAAGTTTGTGTTTTTTAATTTAACTACTTCGTACTGTATTTTATTTGGACTCATTTTATTTGAAAAAAGAAATACTATTGAATTTAAAATCCTAATCATAATTGAAAATAGATGACAAACAAATAAATCCGTAATATCAAAATATTTACAAGTACATTTGGGGGTTCAATACTCATTAAGGGTCTATTTACATTTACTGAAATGAGTTAAACTGAATTGATCGAAGCTGAACTGAACTGATTAGAGCTGAACTAAACTGAAATTAAGTAAATGTGAACAGGCTCTAAATGTAGGCATGCAAGTATGCAACCATTCGGAATATTGCTCAAGCCACTCACCAGTTTGATTATGAATCACACTTTTTCTAGAGAGTCTATTATGTACACCCGAGTGTACCGTACATTCGAGGGTCATTTACTCATTCAATCAACAAATAAGTAAAATATTATTTGCTCATTTGTTGATTAAATGAGCAAATGACTCCGGGTGTACTGTACACCTAGGTGTATATAATAAATTCTACCTTTTCTATACAAGTGCACAACATTACACGATATTAAGGAGTAAAGGTAAAATACAGTCCCTAATCTTTTGTATTTGTGCACTTTTAGTCCCTCTGAACTATTTTGTGCACTTTTAGTCCCTCTGCCACCAAGGTTGGTGTTTTCCAATTAAAAGTTGAGGGATTAAGCCTAGTCAGCATTAGTTTAGGGACCATGACTCATTTTTATTTTTTAATTTTTTTTGTCAAAATTTATTAAAAAACTTTTTATTAGTTTAGGGACCAAGCTACTCCAACATCTTTCTCTCTCCTCAGTATTTAGATCTGGTTTTTTCCCTCTTCCCTCTTTGCTTTCCCTCTTTGAACCTTAATTTCTACTCCTTTTCATTTCAAATCTTTAGCCAAAATTAATTTATTTACCAACAAAAAATCAGATTAAATATCAAGAAACATTGATTAATTAAAGCCCTAAAAAAATTCACTTTTTCTGAAAATTCGTTGCTCTACAGTAGCAACACCAAAGACGATTTTTTTTTTGAAAGCAGCCAACGTTGAATTTTTGGGAGCGATGTAGTCGGATTTCAGGGGATGAAAATGTTGGGGAAAATGGTCGATTTTTTTTGGACAAATTAATTTGAATTTTGGAGAAGTAGTCTAAATTTATAAAATTTGGGGAAAACAGTCAATTTTGAGGAAATTTATCGGAAACTGTGTAAAAATTGTACTCCTACTTGTATTAGTGTGGAGAAGGCTGATCTTCACTTTTTTTTAACAAAAAATTGATTATTTGTTGAAGAAATTGAAGATAGAGGATGAGGTTTTTCTTTGGAAAACAAGAGAAAGAAAGAGCTGAGCAAACGGATGACAGAGAATGTTTAGCAAAAAAAAAAATAAGGGAAAATAATAAAGGAGGACATGAATTATTTGGCAACATATGAGGGTAAAATAGGAAATTAGGATGACTTAAGTGTAAAATATGGGGGTATTTTGGGAATTTTAAATAAAATTCTGACAAAAAAAAAAACAAAAAACAAAAAAATAATGAGTCATAGTCCCTCAACTTTTGTTGACTAGGCTTAGTCCCTCAACTTTTGGATGTAAAACACCAAGTGTGGTGGGTAAGGGACTAAAAGTGCACAAAAAAAGTTGACAGGGATTAAAAGTGCACAAATACGAAAGTTTAGGGACTGTATTTTACCTTTACTCCAATATTAAGCTAGATCAAATCCGAAAAAAGTGTCTTGACTGGACTTTAAGGAGAAAATAAGGGGAAATTTTGTTTCTGTCGACAAGCATTAGAATACCTGCGGCTATCAAAAGGCCAGGTTCAAAGAATTTGTAATTGCAATCTATTTGGAGCCCAATCATGAACAGTTTATTGTTCAAGGAAAACTTCCTGAAAAGTTCACTCATCCTTATACTTTTTTCAATCACTAGGGATTCCAAATTTCCAATCATGATGTATAGGTAGTCCTTTTGAGAAGAATTATTATCCATGTTCATCATATTCTATGCTAATTTATGTATAATATTTTATCAAAATATTTGCATATAGACAATAAATATTTTGAATATTGTGTAGTTATGCAATATTGTAAACTTTATTTGAGCTATTTTAAAATAACACCCACATAAAGCAACAACCTTTCGCTGTCCAGTGACTAATCTTTAACTTTATACTAAGGTGAAACCAGGAATGAGACATGTCATCTCCTGGTTAAAAAAATTCCCTCTAAAAGGGGATTTTTTTTTTTTTTTTTTTTTTTGGCCAAAGCTTTTTGGAGAAGTTTTTAATACAAACTATGCAATAATATTTCATTTCCTATTTAATAAGTATATTCTATTTGTACACATTCAAACAAAGATATTATTTTTTTATACTATAATATGCAATAATAGTTTGCTATCTATAACTTTGTAATGTAATTCTTAGTTATTTTAATTAGTCGTGCATATATTATTCTCTCTGTTTTCTTTCGTGTGATAATTTTTTTTTTTTTTTTGTAATTACAGAACTTTCATCCTATTTTACAATTAGGTATAATTTTTTATAATTAAATAATAGTGTTAAACTAATGATAAGTATTAAGTATTAAAAATTGTCGTGCATGGCACGAGACTTAACCTAGTGTTG